AGTAAATTGCAAAGGGACGCTGCAGGCGCGCTCCCGGTTGCTGGCACCTTTCTCTTACCAGGTCGGCCTTGCGTGGCATCTGTAAGGTAGCGACTGAGCAGCAAACTCCCTCGCAGAGGGGGAAAACACTCAAGTGTTATGGCTTCAGGGGTCTGAAGTCTGGGAAAACTCTCTGCACGTCAGCTAAGCATCCCATTTGATCCCAGCGCCTGCCAGCCAGGCCGCTGGCAGCCCTGGCGATGGCTGCAGGAGATGAGAAGTTAACCCTCTCGTCGTTCCCTTCTCCCTCTCACCTCTTGCCTGCCCAACGCTGAGACCCGGCAGGGGCCGCCTCGGCTTGCAGCCACGCCACGCCACGCCGAGCAGGAGCACAGCCTTCTTGTTTCAAACCCGCGGAGCCCCTCACGCCGAGGCGGGCGAGCGCCGCTGGAGCGCGAGCGCAGCTCTGCTGGGAGCGGGGAAGGCGCGGACCTGGCACCTCGCTGGCCAGGCTGCAGCCGCGCGCCCCGCTTCTGCTGCGCCCCGACAGCGGCTCCTTGCTCCCGAGAACACCGAGCCCTGCGAGCAAGCTGAAACGCACCCGCCGAGGCGGGCAGCGAGCCGGAGCAGCACCTCCAAAGCCGCGGCTCTGACAGGCTGTGTGCATGGATTTTTCCTCCTATTGATTAACCCATTTGGAGTTTGTTTATTTGTAGTAAGGCTGCCTTGCAGCATATTTATGTTCTTTTAATGAGGCCCCTGCAGCGTCGATGCCTCCTGTGCATTAATTACAGGCTCCGGCACAGCCCACGCTTTACGGAGCATCCTCCCACCCATGCTCCAGCTCCGCTCTGCGGTTTGTACAGCGCTCGCCGCGCCGCTGTGGGACAGGCTCCTGCGCTGCCAAATCCCAGCCGTGCTCTGCCAGCCGCCCGCAGCCCCGCTGCCCGCAGCGGGACGGGAGCCGCACGTTCTCGGAGGGGGAGCAGAAATAGCTATGAAATAATAGCTGACCGCATTGGGAAGGAACGACCATTCACTGCACATCCCTTTTATAGTAACAGGGCTGCAGAGTACGCCGCGGTCGTAGCTTCCTTGGACAACGAACAGCAATATCGGGGAAGATGATTTCCTTCTCCAGAGAGGGATCAAGATGTTCCCTTTCATCTTTTGCCATGTTCCAGGAGCCCGGTGCCAGCCGCTCCATCTGCGGCGGCTGGCATAGCCTACGCCCAGCTGCCAAAGCGGAGCAGAAACAACCTTGCACCAAACAACGCTGGGGTACGTCTAGGAGACCCTGAACAATCGTCTCGCTCCTGGTAGTTGCTAGAGGCACAAATGGCAAAGGGATATCTATTGTTTGCTATTTCTGGATGAGAAAAATAAGGCTACAATACTAACAAACACCAGAAAAGCCTCATAAAAATAGCAAAAGACTTGAACTGAAACAGGATGCACGCAGAAAGGCTAGGGTTACCCCACGAAAACATCAAGCAAACAACCAAAAATTCAACTTACCGTTAAGCAGTAAAAGTGAGAGTACCAAGGAAGAGTTGCTGGTTCAAACAATAATTAACCCTGAGCTCACTTCAGGTTGAAAACCACAGCACTAACAAGCTCCACAGAGCCCCCGATGGCTTCCTACAGCGTCCCCACCTCCCCGTCATCCTTCCTTTGCTTTTGGAGGACCAGAGCTGTGGGACAAGAACACCTCCACGGGGCCGGGCAGCATCTAACGCTGCACGAGCTTGGTGCTGCCCAGGGCCTGCAGGTGTTGCTGTCACGGGGGGTGAAGCGTTGGGAGACCGCTGCCACACACAACCAATCTGAGCTGCAGAACCACACGGTGGATGCTCACCAGTGACACGATGGAGGCATCGGCAGAAGCCACCTGAAAACAGACAGACGCGGTCTGCCTGCTTTTTTGGCAGCTGGGGAGGTGGTGGAAACGGCAAAGGAAGCCGCGTGAACTGGCAGAGCACGACGTGCCGTTTCTCTTCCCAGTAAAAAAAGGACAGGCTACAGCCCTGGGACGGGCAGGCAGCTTTCTGCAGCCTCGGGCGGCACACTCCGCAGCTTCGCGGTCGCAGGGTGGATGACACGAGAAGCGACTCTCTTCGGTGTGGTGCAGGACAGCGTGGAGGCCCCACACAAGATGAATATCACTGAGTCTCGGAACCCTGGTTCGGCCAACGCTACTGAGCCTATGGGAAAGTGGAAACTGGAATAGCAGCGCTCGGGGCTGAATAGGCTCATGGTGGGCTTTGCAGGGTAAATGCAGCGGGCAGGGCATCGTCGGGGGCGCCCGGTGGTCAGCTCACGCCGCTGCTGATCCACAAGCGATCAGCCTCACCGAGGTCTAAGCAGGGCCCGTGCTCCAACGCAGTTTGCAGTGAAAGCACATGCCGCAGGACAGGAACGACGCCCATTTGCCTCACTTGCACGACTCTGGCAGCTGGACAACGCTCCGCACAAGCGGGAGGCCGATGTACCTCATGCTTCAGTGCCACTTCACAACGCACCGAAAGCTGCTTGTCCTGACCCCAATTCATTGCTGAACCAGTGTTGCAAACACATCAGATATTACACTTCAGTAGCTTGCAGTAATGCGTATTTACACACACACACACACACGCACAATCTCTCTTTTGCTTTCAGACCATTATATTCATCTTAGCTGGAAGAAGGGGCAGTGTTATCGTAGCCATAGCTGGCCTAGGGCAGGAAAATATTCCTTCTATTACATGTTACCACCTTCCTCTTACACCCTCCTGCTGGCTTCAACAGGAGTAACAGCACTCTTTTCCCTCCCAAATGTATAACCCCCCTTGCAAACATCCGACACACAGTTGCTTCACATCTGCCAGCTTCCCTTTTCCCTCAAAGCGTGCAGTTGAGTCATTTAATGGAGCTGAATTTAGCTGACAGGTTGTTGCTTCTGTTTCACATCTAACAAAGGGACTGTGTCCCCAAAGGCCTCTCTCTTCCCCACCTATTTTGGGGGTCTAACAAGAGATACCACCTCTCCCTACTACAACCTTGCAAAAAGAAAAAAAAAGCACAATGGAAGGACAGTTACATTCTCTTTTCTCAGTTGCTAGAAGTGTATTTCATCATGGGAACCTGACTATTGCACCCTTTGGATGTCAGTTTTCAGTTCCTGGTTTTGAGATTTAACGAAGACGCACTCAAATTCACGCATCCATCGAAGGAGTGGGAGGATTGCCCGGCCAGCCTGGGCTGCAGCCACGCAGCACGGCTCCTCTCTCCCTCCCAGACAGGCAGGTCCCCAGGCTCCGTGCTGCCTTCGCTACTTACTGCTTACGTCCGTGACTGGTGTTCTGCTCCAAAGCAACAGAACCACTCATCGGCTTGGTGCAAAGAGCCGACAAACCGAAAAGGCGTCTTTCATCAAAGCTGAGACCATTCATTACAAACGCTTTGTCCAGCTGGCAACTGCAAAGACAGCATCGCCCGGGGATACAAGCAAAGAGGACGGGAGGAGAGCACAACCTACTGCACAGATCTCAAGGGTGTTACGGACAAGAAAGCATGGAAAGAAAGATTTAAGAGCAAAGCACTTGCCAAATGGGAGTAAGCTGCCCTAAGGGCCTGTGGTCAACATGGAGCGCATTTAAAATGGACAAACCACGACACCAGAGTGACGGAGCGCGGAGCCCTCGAGGAAAGGGAGGAAGCAGCACCGAGCCGCAGAGGAGGGCTGCTGACAGCCGATTCCTGCGGGAAGTTCCTGATTATCTGGAAGCACCTCATCACATACCTCCTTCCCAGAACAGGCTGCGCTTTGTGCCGCGCCATCCACCGTTCTGCTATGAGTTGTGCTTGGATGTCACAGATACCATCGTGGTGTTGCTTCTGGGGACACCGGACATCCCGTTGAGAAAGAGAGGGCAGTGTCACCGTGCCACGAGCTTTGGCTAAATAACAAACTATTCGTACAGATGCGTTCCGTAGGCAAGGCTCTCTTGAGATTTATTTTGAACTATAAAAGACTAACAAAACCAGTGTTATCTCGTTAGACGTGCACACAGAAAAATTCCCGAAGGAGTCTAACAGCTGAGAAAGTAACAAGCGAGCGGGAGGCCTAAGTCCCTGTGCAGCTCGGAACAAGCACCACAAGTTTTCTCACAGCCTGCCTGTGGGAAATGGGGAGCAAGAAGAGGCTGTCACCAGTGAAAATATGCAAGATTTCCAATTACAACAAAACAGAGGATCCAGTTCATGTGGAAGCCCGACCTTTTATCTCACGCTGGCTCTCTTCAAGCCCTGGGTGACTACTGTCCAGTAACTCTATTTCTTGTTACCAAACTGTTAACTTTCTTTTACATCAGGCTAAGCAGAGCGTCAGCAGTAAATACAAAAGGCTTTAAGGGAATGGGAGGAGTAAGATACCTCAGTATTAGGGGTATGAAATGGGAGGAATTTTGCTGTGGCTTTCAGTCCGCCTCCACAACAGATCACTGCAATAAATCACAGTAAGCAGCATAAGCACCCAACGCAGTTTTGCAACAGTCGTGGTTACATCCCTGGGATGCACGCCTAGGAGGAGCAGAAACTCCGTGCACAGCCTGGGTTCAGGCTGTCAAAAGCCGCAACGACCAGTCACGTGGGCTTACGCTCCTCACTCAGGAGGCAACGCATCGGAGCAGCAAAGGCTTCACATGTAAACCACCGACGCTCTCCAAACAGGGCGTCACCTCCAGCGCAGCGGGACGGAAGGGACCGGGAATCTGGAGGTCAGCTGAATACCGAACGAGGAGGTGCTGCAGAAGAGCTAGGGGAAAAAACGAGGTGTCCGAAGTAGCCACGTGACAATACTCAAACTCCTCCAATAATTCTGGTCTCCTCTCAAAGTTAGGAATCCTCCTGGGTTTTCCACACCTGCCTCCACAGCAGCAGGAGGAGTCAGCTTCAGCAACAGACCTTAGGAAGCTGGCACGGTTGGAGAAGATGTGGAGAAAGAGTTATTTTAAAAAGCTGTTTCTAAGCGAGCGTTTTGCTTAGTCCACCTGCACGCCCTCAGGAAGCTCCACCACCACAGGAGCGCAGTCATCAGGCTCTGCCTCGAAGTCCCATTTAAATTTCTTCGTTAGGTGAGCCTTGAATTTTTCAGCCTTTTTCCTTAGGGTCCCATCAACAGCAGCACTGCACGTGTAGGAAAAAAACACCTAAAAGAACAGAGCAGAGGTCAGTAAGCACCCATTTCTTTCCTACAAAGACATCATCAACAGGGTGCACCAGGAAAAGTTGCAGGTTAGGCCACTGGTACGGGATCTACCACCCTGGAAAGCACTCCAGCTTTGGGGGTACCTGAACAAAGCCTACACGTCTCCTCTCGTCCCACAGCCAGGACAGACACCCTGCCTTCACTCCACTGGGTCCTCAGCGTTAGAAATATTTGCACTAAGGTAATAACTTCGCTTCAAGCGGGAGGATATATGTAATTAAATACGTACTATGGAATCCTGAAATATGCTTAAGTGTGAGCAAAGAAAAATATCTGAGCAGAAGGAAAAAACCAAACCCAAAACCCCAAAGCCAAGAGGACGACCAGGTTTCATTTGCCACGTAGCCAATTCTACAGCATGTGTCAAAAGGGCCAACAGGTAACTATACCCATCTCTTTCATGGCTGGATGGACCAGGAGATCCCCCAACGTACTTTTGCAATATGGTATCACCAACACCTGAGGATACGATACAGGGGAAACGTAAAAAAATTACCTTGAAGGTAAGAGAGGAATGGGAGCTCTCTGGAAAAAGTCCAGTTATCCCAGCATAGCCATTCCCTTGAGCACAGGGCACTGAAATCCAGACTGACCTCTAAGGGCGGCTCCCCTCCATCACCCGAACACACACAAATCTATTTGCTTTTCACAAATTCACAGCTTCTGTTAGCACTTTGAGAGTTAAAGCACCCGGGTACGGTTAAACAGGGCATTTAGCCTCGGAGCCGCTCCCTCATCAGCCTGCTTCTGCTCCTCTTCTGAACTCGTGATCCAGAATTCGTTTCCATAGGAAGAAACTCATATTTCAAAGACAGAGAAAAAAATCATTGCACGATGGCAGTGAAGGGAAAGGCCCCTGGGGAAAAAGCAGGCTCTTATTTGGGAGAGACCTACTGACAGCTGGATAAAACACTGACAACGAACAGCAAAGTTTGATGCTTTGTTTATCATCATTTGCCTTCTCCTTGTTCATTCTACCATGAAACTGCCTCTTTATAACAAAAAGCTCTTACACAGCAAGACTGCTATTAAAAAAAAAAAAAAAAAGAGAAGATTATACTTCCCACTTCTCCTCAATGAACTGCACATTAAATTAGTTATTTCACCAATATTTTTGTTCTTTAAACATTGTTAGGGCTGCATATTCAGCAGAGGTTATGCTGTACTCTTCTTGCCTTAGATCAAACTCCAAAAATAAAGTTGCTGCATTCAAAGCTGAGCAAAAGCTAAGGCAGATAATGCACTCCCCCGACACAGACCATTTTGCACTTCCGATCCACCTGCCCACATCCAGTTAAGATTGTTAATTCCGACGGCTGCGTACGTAAAGTGACTGGGGAAGGCAAGCCCCAGAGGCTCCCGGGCACTATTTCAGCGCATCAGGGAAATCCCACAGGAGCTGAGCAGTGGAGAACTTTTAGCAAGGAGAGGCTCGGTTCAACCGTAAGGCCAATTTTCTCTTTGTTACCAGGAATGTGGTGACTCCTGCTAGGGCTTAGCAGTGATCGCTGAAGCCAGCACAGCCACCTAAAGGCATCACCTTCCTCTGCTTAAGTAAAAAACACAGACTGATGAAACCCAAGGGCGTACAAGTCTCAGGTGTCCAAAAAGGAAAGATAACCAGCAAGACAGGGAGCTTCCAAAATTCCCATCAGATGGACAGAACGGCTGGCTGACGCATTCTTTGTACTGCTGTAAAGTGACAGCGCAAAGTGTCGCTCTGTGAGCGTGCTGCAAATAGAGCTAGGTTTTCCAGTCCTGTAACGGGATAGGAAAACACCACCAACAAAAAAAATTTAAAAATCGAGACTTTTATGAATCCAAATTCTGAAAAAGTGAAGAAAGTCACTTGATTAAAGCAATGCTTCCCATAACATTTTGCCCAGCAAATTAAAACCAAACACCTCCCCTCTCCCCAAATCCAGAGCAAGAGCTTGGCGTTACAAGCAGAGAAATGCAACCTCTCCCTGAGAAAGGGGAGGGCACCACCAATTCGCATCGAGCACCTGCAACATAACTTACTACTGTTTCTGCTGGGATTAAGTTTCCTTTGCTGAGCTTCACCAGTGTATCTGGTCTGGGCTTTTTTTCCTTCTTTTTTTTTTTTTTTAAACCAAGTTTTGCTCAGTCTGTTTGCTGAGCTGTTAGCATGGATACAATCAGTGGGAGTGACTGGTTTTACTCGTGCGGAATTACAGATTTGCCCATGCCTGTCTCAGTAGACGCAGTGTTTTCTGCATTTTGGACTAACCATAAATTCCCTCTGGATAAGAACTTGATTATAGGAAATCTGCAGCTTTGCTTAAGGCTAAGAGGGATGGAAAAGCTTCTTAAATACTATCAATGCCCTACGCTGAACAAGGTTTCACTGCAACTTCCCTGCATACTAGGCATACCATTCAAGCTGACCAAAAATCATCATCATCAGTCTTTTATGCCAAAGGTGGTTTTTTTCTTTTTAAAAGAATGAGTGGCATTTGGAAAACAAAAAAAAAATAAACAAACAGACATCATCTTGCACTTGCTCAGCCTCTCTCAGAGCTGTTCAGCTTAACGTAGTCGAAGGCCTTAAAAATTTTTAGAAAAAAAGTACGCTGGTACAGTCCGGTCACGTTAGACGCACCACTCCAGATCTCTTAAAACCACATCAGCGTAGCAGGTTACTTCCAGCACTACTTGCAAGGAAAACGTTATAAAAAAGACACAGTCCCCGTTCTCTGTCGCAGCCATCGTCATTAGCCTTTCCTCTCGTTGCCTCACTTTGCTGGCCTCTCTGCAGGCGGACTAACTCCATTTCATACTGCATTAGACTCTTCTAAGCGTAGCTTGAGCAGCTCAAACTCCGAGATGACAAGCAAACGGCATTTCTTTGTAATTAACACAGGGAAGAAGTAAAAGAAAATATGCATGTGCTTCGATAGGCTCACTATCTCCCCGCAGCTCAACAGTAGCTTAATTCCTTTTGCAGCTTCTCCCCGAATTTGCCCTAGTGTCCTGGATGCCCTCCCCTCCCACTCCTGTTTTTCAAGAGAGCGCCGCAAATGTACCTGTAAGGTGCTGGTTAGGAAGTTGTCCTGGGAGACAATGTCCACAAAAAAATCAGCTGGGATTTCACCGAGCTGGTGATACAGCACAGAAATGAGATTGATGTAAAGGTCTTGATACTTCCCTATGGCAGTTTCAGATCGGCACAGGATGTTTAAGAGCCTTTTCCAGTGCTCAAATGCATCATATACATTCCCGATCAGGAAGCAGATGAAAGCAAACTGCAACTCAGCTGCGCATATTCAGCAAAGGAAAACAAAACAAAACACACGTAAGATTAAAAACATATCCAAGGTACGCGTCCTCTCAAAATCTCTGTAAACGATTGCATAAAACTCTGGGTTTGCCTTTGGCACATGCATTCGGCCCTTCCAGCGATTCTGCTAATAGCAATCAATACTCCAAACACTGACTATTTCCTAATGCTCTGCTCTTCAGCTGGAGAAAAAGCAAAGCGCAATCAGGCAGGTCCACCTCTAACTGTAATTATCATCTTTGGTGAGTGACTTCACAGGCAACCTGAGTAAACAGCCACCTAAGGACTTCCACTGTCACCCGTGTCTCAAAATGACACCCAAATAAGAAGTCGGACATTGCTGTTATCCTGCAGCCGTTTGCTCCGCCTGTGCCCGGGTTTCCAGAGCCACACAGGAGCGCAAACGCTGCTGCCCTTGAACGCCAGGGCTGTGGGAACGTCGGGAGAGGCGAGCAGTACATTAACAGATGTTCTTCCCTTGCTGAATTAAGAGCCAGGGTTCATCAGCTATTTTGCTAGAATGATGGCGTCACCATTTCCTAAGGTAATTCGTTCTTTGAATATCCTAGAGTTGTCTTTGATAATTTTGATAGAGAATAAATTGTACAACATTAATATAGAAAAAATGGAAGAAGGGAAAAACAAAGGCTTGTTCCAAACCTCAGCAGCCTCGAGGCTCCAGCTCGGCTGGGTTCCCAAACCCTCCCCCCATCCTGCCACGAAACAAAACCACACTCCAGACCTCTGCAGGTTTGATATTGATTCATATCACAAGTTGCCAGAAAAGACTGGCAGTTAATTGAGACCCCGCGGCCGGGGGCCGCAGCCCTCCCCGTGGAGGTCTCCTGCAGCAGGGCTGGCAAACCCCAAGGGCTGCCACGGAGAGTCGCCAGCAGCACACAGCAGAGCTGCCACCGCTCCAGCCAGGGAGGGGCCTCGGGAGCGGGAACACCAATCCGAAAATTACGATGTTCAGCCCCATTCAGTGCTCCCAGGACTCCGTAAGCTCCATCCTCAGAGGCTCACTTAAGAGGCAAACTGCCAGGCTGGTGCCAGGTAACAGGCCCCCTTTGCAGGAGATGCAGCCCGCAGCCACCTGCGATTGCTGCTTTCGCCTTAACAGGAGGCAATGTGGGCTCCAAGCACAGCACCCAGGAGCGAGAGCAGCAAACGGGCCAGGCTGGCAGCTATGGACACCGAGCACCACGTCCCCACACCAGCACGACTGGAACAGGCCCTATCGCTGCTCAGAACTCCACAAACTTCTGTCCTGTCGAGTCATGCAATTAAGAGAGATCACAGAATGGTTTGGGTTGGAAGGGACCTTAAAGACCATCTGGTTCCAGCCCCCCGCCGTGGGCAGGGACACCTTCCACCAGACCAGGGTGCTCAAAGCCCCGTCCAACCTGGCCCTGAGCACTGCCAGGGATGGGGCAGCCCCAGCTTCTCTGGGCAACCTGTGCCAGCGCCTCACCACCCTCACGGGGGAGAATTTCTTCCTTGTATCTCACCTGAACCTGCCCTCTCTCAGTTGAAAGCCATTCCCCCTTGTCCTGTCACTGCCGGCCCTTGGAACAAGTCCCTCCCCAGCTTTCCTGCAGGCCCCTGCGGGCACTGGGGGGCTGCTGGAAGGTCTGCCCGCAGCCTCCCCTGCTCCAGGCTGAGCACCCCCAGCTCTCAGCCTGTCCTCGCAGCAGAGCTGCTCCAGCCCCTGATCACCTTCGTGGCCTCCTCTGGCCCCGCTCCAACAGGTCCATGTCCTCCTTACGCTGGGGGCCCCAGAGCTGGACGCAGGGCTGCAGGGAGGGCCTCACGAGAGCAGAGATGCCTCGGGGCGCCAGGGCCCGCAGGACAGGCACGGGTTTCATCCCGGGGCTCTCGTTTTACACAGAAATGACTTTATTCTCCCAACGCAGCCGGGGGCTGTCGGGCGACGCGCGGTACTCACCAAGCAGGTCCAGCGGCTGGCTGGCGTAGTGCTGGCTGATCACCTTCTCCAGAGCGTAGCTGAGGTCCATGCTGTGCCGGGTTATCTCCTCCGGAGTAGCACCGCTGGGGTACATCTGCTTGGGCAGCTCCGTGAACCTGATCTCGGTGCCGGCCTTCGGCCTCATGCGGGGCAGCCGCGCCAAGCCCTCGGCGTAGCTCCGGCACTCGGCGTCGAAGCGGGGCCGGCGCTGCTCGGCCCGGTCCCTGGCGTCCCGCCCGGCCGCCTCCGGCAGCACCTCCGAGAAGGCGCAGATCTGCCCGCTCTCCGGCTGCAGCCTCTTCATCGCCGCTTCGCTGATGAAGCTGGTGAGGGAGACCCACTTCTTCAGGCTCTCGTAGGGGTAGGGCCCGAGGAACGGGTCCATCTCCCGCAGGTTCTCCCTGAAGGCCTCGGCCTCCCCCGCGGCCGGGGGCGCCGGGCGCACCGCCTCGCTGCCCGCGTCCCACCGCAGCACCCGCACCTCCCGCCGCTGCAGGCTGAGGGAGAAGCCGGTGGGCGGCCCCGTCT